TATGAAATGAGTTCATATCAAGTTACATTCACTAACAATTATCAAAAATACAGAAAGTGTACAATATTCGTTGTTAGAGAGAACTGAAATTGCTGCTCTCATCTTCCACTTTTCAAAATATCCGCAAGTCAATAATGAAATTTAAATTGCATTTGAATGAACTGTGTATGGAAAACACGCTGTGTATGGGCGAACCTTTGGAACCTTTGGAACTCGCTGTAGCATTGGAAATTTCATCCTGACTATTTTTAGGCCAGTCAAGTACCATAATTGGAGGCACGCGTTGAACGTCGCCCAGACGATGTTCGCCATGTTGAAAACCGGCAAGATGGAGCAGTTCATGACCGACCTTGAAATTCTTGGGCTCTTGGTCGCCTGTTTGTGCCACGACCTAGACCACCGTGGGACGAACAACGCGTTTCAAATGAAGACCGAGTCGCCGCTGGCTATCCTGTACTCGACCAGCACCATGGAGCATCATCATTTCGATCAGTGTGTCATGATACTGAATTCCGACAGCAACAACATCTTCCAGAATCTGTCGATGGAAGATTACAGGAAGGTGATGAAGGTGGTGGAGAGTGCGATACTCTCTACCGATCTGGCCGTTTATTTTAAGAAGAAGAACAAATTCATGGAATTGATCGACGAGGGAGAGTTCGATTGGCAGAGCGAGGAGAAGAAAGAACGTAAGATTAATTATCAATGATTACCCTATGACCTTTACATCTCTCCTATCCTCTTTCCTCCTCCATATGTATATCTTATGATACAGATCTGAAAGAATGATTTCAATTTCATCCTGATATAACGATATCAAACATGAAATTTAATGCTCCATCTGACGATGAATTTTTTTTTTTTTTATAATAGAATAAAATCTGAGATATAACCGACTGGACAGTATATGCCAATTTCGACATTTGAACTTTCTATATCCATACTAAAAGAAAATTTATTGCATAATTATTAGTTTGATCATTACTTTAGACTTGGCTAGATCCACAATGATGCCAAATTTGATATATATTGTTATAGATCAAATTTAATTGTTATTATACTATGTATATAGTAACTCAACAATTATTTTCCTAATGAAATCAAATCTATTTCTTTACATCATAGAAAAGTTAACTCTAGAAGCCACAGGGTTGCTCTATGCTATAGATTTAAATTCAACACCTATAGATAAAATAAAATCGAGAAGCCGTACAGTATCTGATACCTATATAATGGAACTAAATATCTATACCTTTCCATTACCTCGTGTGCATAGTGAAATGAAATCTAGAAGCCTTATATTCATAATGCGCCTATTTCTTTATATCCATCAATTGAACGAACTAAAGGCAACTGCAAAAGCCATGACTGAAATCAAACCAGAGGAAACTTTATTCACTCGCGTGAATCAAAAGTCCACATCTACTCGACAGAGAAAGTGGCTGTATGAAATACCAAAAGTCGCATCTTTCTATTTCCAGTGCTATGCGGAATGATGATGACGGCGTGCGACGTGAGCGCGATAGCAAAGCCGTGGGAGGTGCAACACCGCGTAGCCAAGCTAGTCGCCGATGAATTCTTCGACCAGGGTGACCTGGAACGTCTGCAGTTGAATCAACAGCCGGTGGCGATGATGGACCGCGAGAGAAAGGACGAACTACCGCAAATGCAGGTCGGCTTCATCGACGTTATCTGCCTGCCTCTGTACAAGGTGCTCTCCGACACGTTCCCGTGGATCATGCCTCTCTACGAAGGCACCATGGAGAACAAGAAACACTGGCAAGACCTGGCCGAGAAGGTGGAGATGGGCCTGACCTGGATCGATCGCGACACCATCGACGAGCCGGTCGAGGAGTTCGTCTCGTACGAGCCCAAGGACATCGAGTTCACCGTCACAACGCTGAACTGCGCGCACGTGGACAGAAAGGAAGCTGCTGAGAAGTCTGCGTTGGGCAGATTCGCTTCCCTGAGGAAGGGCGGTCGCACGCTGACCAAAGGTGTCAGGCATCGAATCAGCAGGTCACTGTACGCTAGAAGCACACCCGAGGACGCCACCAAGTCCAAGGCGTTGATACCTGACAGAAAGAGCCGGAATAAATTGTGCTTGCTCATTTGACGGCTCACGTCCACCACTCTTGAGAGCATACCGGAATGATGAACGAAAAGAGAGAAGACGGGAAGACAATTTGCTTGACAATTCTTTTTAAGACTGGCTCCGGTGGATCTTGACAGTCTAACCGGATGGCTTCAGACTTCAGCTAGGTTGAAACTAGTCGCTTCATCTCGCCAACTGGCGAAGAGATTACCTTCGAGTGGTAAACGAGATTATCGATAGAGCTACGGGGAATCGTAGAATAAAATTCATCGACAGCTGA